CTTGACTTTGGGCCCCAGGGCTGAAGGCATCCCTCTTCGGGAGGGGAGGAAGGCGGTTGGGGGGGCCGAGCCTGGGCCACACCATGGGGCTGGATGCCCTGCTGTGGGGTGGGTTTTAATGCCTGCCTGCTGCTGTATGTGGGTGAGGGAGTGCTGTATCCGCCTGCAATAAGCTGGACTTTTTGGGAGTGGCACCCCAGCAGCTGCTCGACTGAAAGGGTCCGCTTTAATAAGAGAGTTACGTGGGAAATGGTTTATAATCATTGGTGCAGCCTCATCAGCTGAGCATCCCTAGGTACCTTGTCACTTAAAGTGCAGCAGCTTTAAAAGTGTGTGCATAATGTTGTATCTCTATATGCTGACTTTTATAAATATATGTAGCAACACGCACACATAGACAAAGTCACAGCACAGATACTTTTAGCAAGTAAGGATGTTTTAAGCGTATTTTAAGTGGGTCCATAGCTATGGGCTGTACAGGCCTGAGGGCAGGGAGTGGGAAGAAGGCTGTGGTCTGTGGCATGAATCCATGCAACAAAGGCCTTGTGGTGCGGAGGGGGAGGCTTCTTGAGTCTACTTCTGACACTTCCTGCACACTCCATGCTAGTTGACTTTTTTTGCATCTTATTTCCCTCTCTTTTGCTTGTTTTGTAGTGCTTTGTCTCAACATTTCACACAGTACCTTAGGACATTGAATAAGGAGCCGAAAGTCTTGATGTGCATGTTCTCCCAGCCTGGAGCAGGCATTGCTCTGCCACCCTGTCCTCAGGCTGTAGGCTGTATTTTAAGCCACTCTGAGAAGGTGAGAAAATGCAGAGCTTTAAAAAGCAATGCCCACAATCCTCTGACAGCATCTATGTTTGTGGGAGCTGACCTGACTTCATGTCATGTTTTCCACCTGCAGACCACTGGTCTACAGAAAGGGCAGGCAGTTCAGGCAGCAGAAACCTGAATAAGGACATCCTGTAGACCTGGGCTTCCCCTGGCAGCTCTACCCTTCTGCATTATACTCCCTTGCATTGAGCATAAAATCTGCCAGAAGTGCTGCTAAGCAGCTGCAACACAGGAAAGAAACGAGGTGAGAAGTTTAACTCCGAAACTACTGTGAAGAATATTTTGAAACCGCTAAGTGACGCAGAGATATAGGTGTTAAGATGGCTCACAAGAAATGGAGGTTTTGACAGCAAAGCCACCTGTATAGTGAGGGAGGAAACAGGTAAAGCAAAAGCATCCCCTTTGGTTTATTATACTGCACCGGAAGATTGTAGGCAGTGATAAATGCCATCCTGACATTAGTGTCATGACTTTAGTTTGCATTTGAGAGGTGGGATGTGTAGTTTTTTCCAGTATAGATATGGGTTCCTGTTTCTGGTATGCTTTGTTATACAACTGATTCGTTCCGCTTGATGTAAAAATCACAGAAATGGAAGCCACTAAAAGAAAACTATTGAGACTTCTCTTTTGCCATGTGATAACAGTATGGATTTCATATTTGGAAGTGTTGATCTATAGCTGGTCTATAAACACAGAAGAGGAGACAAGGTTTTCCCTTCTCCCTGCTCCACACCTCCCCCCCCCCCCCCCCCCCCCCCCCCCAATCTATTTCTATTTGATGAATCTGAGGAGGGCTGAGTATGCTGCTCCTTGAGGCTGGCGTAGCGGACTTCCAGCTGAGTCTGTTGAGGGTTCATGGGACTTCTTGCAGGATGCCCACAGCTCTCCATGGAGGGAGGAAGCTGTTGCTTTCAGAGAACATCAACTTCCCTGGGGTGTGAAGAAGAAGGAGCAGTGAACAGCTGAAGGAGAGAGGCCTGGTAGTCCTGTGTCTCTACCCCTGCTTGGGACTGCCTTAACCATGGTTAGTGATGCTATACATAAGATTGACTGATGGGTGAGGAAGGACTACCTGGGCTTTTGTTTCTGCTATACATCAGTTCTTCTGCTATATCTGTGCTTTTTCAAGTGGGAATTATTTGAGGTTTGCAGCTTCTTTACATGCAGCTCTGGATGTGTGGTGCAGTTCTGTCACATTTGGCTGTGGAGTGGGAGGCCAATACATCCGGCTGAAAGATGGGGAGGAAACTCTCATCCAGGGAATCTAAGATATGCACCAATTCTTACTGAGTTAAGTGTCCACCTATAAACAATCTCTTTTCTGTTCATCTTTGAATATTTGTATGGGATACTTTTTATTGGATTATCCACAGCTCTGAATGCAGTAATTGTACTTGTGGATTGTTGGTTCCCAGGTTTTTCCTGGGCAACCAGCAATAAGGTGCAGTAGGTCCACAGGAGGCAGGAATTAAAGCGGTTAAGGTCACAAGCATCTCTGTTGTAGATAAACTCATTGCTGAAGTATTGGGATGCCCCTGAGTGAGAAGCCCCTGAGGTTAATGACTCACAAAGTGCTAAGGGGATTCTATAGGGCCAGAAGCAGAAGTGACTAAGCACGGTCATACTGGTCCAGTGACTGTGCAATTAGGGGAGAATTAGCTACTATTAAAAAAGAAATCCTTTTCTTGGTCTCTGGAAATTGCAATATACTTGCCTCTGGACATTTTAACCTGGAAGTGCCAGGCTTTAAAGGCTTCATTATCAGAAGTGCTTCCCCCCATATGTTTGCTGACATTGGTGAGAACCATAGAGGTCTTACACCTGGGAAGGTCAAGCTGTTAGGTACATGGACTAGGTTTTTCTCCCATACAACAGAAAATGTAAAGCAAATGTCTTCTCTCTTTCTGAAAGGAAAAGAACAGGCTACCAGGGGTGGTATTCGTCTTCTTCATCCTTTGCTCCTACCCTCCATTCCCAACACTGGGTTTCAGTGCTTTCTGAAGAGGTTGGCACAAGGCAGGTACAGATGTGAGGTGTACAACTTATCTCATGTAATAACTTCATGGGACTAAGCTATTTCCTGGTTGGGCTGGTGTTAAGAAGGTAAATATTTCTGAGGAGAGAGGAGATGCCCAACTGCTTTCTTGAATTACAGCTACTAAAGATTAAAAACAAAAAACAAACAAACAAACAAAAAAACCCCAGACAAAATACTCTTTTGTGGTATGGCATTCCCCCCCCCTCCCCACCCTGGGGGAAAAAAACTCACTTTGTTGTAATGTTACTATTTTACTATTAGTATTATTCTAAATATTAATATCTTGATTAATTCAACATTCAGACACCACAAACATCTGCCTTGCTCTGGAGGAAGATTCAAACTTATTTACCTTCAGGTATATGTTACCAAAACACTGTAAATTTACAGTTGTTTAGTACAACTTGTTCATAATTGTTTTGAGAACTTAGGCTAGCTCTTTCTATTATATTTCTTTCCATTATCTTTATTTTCTAATAGTTCCTTCTATTTGGCTAGTTCTCTCTCTTTCAGAAAGTCATCTACCCACTATTTCCCAGTCTGTAGAGAAAGCTTTAGAGTTTTACGTATTTGGAACTGAATGAAACCAGATCATGAAATGGATGGGTTGAATTTCACAGTTACAAACCATCTGTGGCTTCCATTGATGCCAGCAAGCGTAAGACAAATAGAGAGCCTGAGAAGAAAATGCGCTATGGAGGTACAGCTCCTCCAGTCACTAACAGTCTTCTGCTGTGCTAGTACAAGGCTTCATAGATGCATTCTCAGGGCCAGGGTATTGGTCAAAGAAGAAAAATACCAGGAGGCTATGAAGTCAAACCAATGGTCCATTAGCTCAGCAGCATTTGCAGTGTCCAGCCGCAGGTGGTTAAGGAAGATGGATAAGAACAAAGCAAGAACACAGCCTCACCTCTCCCCCCAAAACTTTTCAGTTTCTGAGAATGAACAGCTTCCCTTGCTGCTGCCCCTTTTGATATGAGTTGTCTTCCTCCCAGGGCATTCAAAGTCTTCCTATATTTTGTAACTTTATTTCCAGTGGAGGGACTTGAGGAATTCCCAGGAAGGGACCATTGCTTGGCCAGAAGTCGAGTCAAATCTGTCCCCTGAGCAGGGGCTGAAGGCTGCTCCCAGACCTGGTCCAAAACTCTTTACAAATAGCAAACAGCCTGCACAAATATAGCCTGGGGCCTGGCCCTTGAGATGCACAAGGAATGTGAACCCACAGACACATCTGCTGCTACATTTCTTCAGGCAACCCTTACAACTCAGATGCATAGCAGCTCATGTTAAAACTCTGAGGAAAAATAGGAGAGCCTCTTAAATTGCCCTTTGAACTGCTCCAGTTATTTATTGCAAGTGTGGTACCAGTGATAACCCCAGCTTCCAGAGTTTCCCACGCTTGAAAGGACAGCTAAAAGTGGAGGCTGACCTGTTGTTGAAAATATGGCATAACCAGCATCTCTCACTTCAGAAAAGGTGTTGGCTGCCTACAGACTTCTGAGTCGGTTGCGGCGTGGTTTACAAGTATTCAGTGAAAGGGTTCCTGGACCCCTGAGATGTCTGCCAGTCCTGCGTAGGGTGCAAGGACTCACACCTGCAGAAACCCTGCCTCCCCCTCAGAGCTGAGTGACAGAGGAACATGGCTTTGAGAAGAGAGGCCTTGGTGATGAGGTGGAAACATCGAATGCCTTGTAATGGATGATGCTGCTGCATGGAGGCTCTGACGGTTGAAAGTGTAGGTTTGGGTTTTAAATAATGTAGCCTTTCGTTGTGTAGTAGTTACCTTAGCCTTGCAGAAGAAGTGGGAGAGTTGACACAGCTGTGTGCAGCTGTCTTTTTTTCTTGCCGTCCCTTCCAGATGTTCCCTGCCCAAAGACACCAGGTGTTACAGAGAACATACTTTTGAGGCAGGTTCTTCTCTACCCTTTAAAATGTGCTTTTGCTGCAAAGCAGAGCCATATTTTGCTGAGTTAATCATGGGAATGGTTATATGACATATCAGTTATTCTTTAAGAAGTTGTGGTGATGACTGATGCACTGACCGACACCTGGTTCTTTATGATCTGCACCTTTTCCTCCTTCAGATTGTGTTAACATATGTTTTTATTGTGTTTGACTTTGCTTTTACTTCTGATTTTAAGTTGGTGCTTTGCATAGCTTAAGGCTTGTAGCTTGTGTTTGATGTGTAACAGCAGGCAACTTAAGGTTGTGGTTTGTTCTTCATGTCAGAAAGCAGTTTGTTTCCCTAGTTTTAACTGTGTCACATCCTCTTCAGGGGAGTGTATAACCAGATGGTTTGTTTCCACTCAGTTCTTTCAGACAGGGTAGAGGCTATGTCTGTCTGTTGGACAAATCAGCTGTGTGTCAAGATCTCAGAAGCATCGATGAAAAGAAATAAATGAACTGTACAGCAGAAAACAAGGACTCTCTGGGAAGGATGGTCCTAAACTGAGATAGTTTTCGCTTCTTTGCAACTATATCCAGGCCCCTTGTGAGGACTCTGCGGTTCCCTGGTGCTCAGGAGCCACCTCATGAGCAGCCACTGGGACCGGCATCCACGCTGGACCGGCTGCGTGCGCTTGTGTCTCTCTCCTCATCCCCAGGACTGTGAGTATCGGAAGACCAGAGCGCACCGGCGCCGCTGCTGCTCATCTCCCCTGTTCCCGTGGCCGGAGGGCTCCTCTCCAGGCCGGCAGCCGGGCAACTTTCCTCCAGCCTCAGCATCCACTGTGATGGATCCGAGCGTGAGCGGGGCCGCTCCCCAGCTGGAAGGCTGAGGCTAATGGAAGTGTGATGCACATATCGCATGGTCCTGTGCCAGCCACCGCCGTCAAGGCTGAGTAAAAATTTTAATTTATTTTAATGTAGTTATTGAGGCATTTTAACTCCGTCAAAGGAAATAACACAAGACAATCTACAAATATTCATTCGCTAATTTTAAATGAATTTAATTCAGCTGTGCTTGGTTTCTCCTTTTTGGGTTTTACTTGGAGACTTACTTCTCACAGGCACAAGTATTCAAGGATTGTGAACCTTAAAATTTGCATTCTAAATTCTGCATTTCATACATGAATATTGAAACAGAGTAATATAGTCTGTTCTTTCTGTAAGACCCCCCCATTTTTAATTATTAATGCCTGTTCTTTTGAGCAAATAAACCCTATATATATGGGACTTGTCTGCATTTTAAAAGCGATAGCTCTCTGGGAAAAGTTCCAATATGACAGTATTCTGTAGATGAATATTTATAGATCCATCAAAATTGGTGAATACTGAATTTGCTGATAAACAGTATGTGTGTGGGGGGGTTTACTTTTCTTTTGAAAGAAATTGAAAAATTATTTGCAAATGGGGAAAAATTTGCAAATTTGCAAAAACTTTTTGATTGAAAACAACTTTTGCATGTATAATTTATGCAAATTGCAAGAAACCTCAAAGCCCTTCGACAGTATTGAATATGAATCAAAATATTTAATTTGTGGCAAAGATTTTAGGTGAGCAAAAATTAAATTTGGGAGTTTTGTAGTGTAAGAGTTACACTGCCTGTTGCATGTTAGTAGTAGAATACTGATCAATGTGGTTGCAATGGCATTGTTTTCAGGTTTCAATGAAAGCTTTTCCTCCAGATGCATCAGTGTTTTTTTTAGAGCTCTGCAGAAAACCATCAGGCTGTTGTCTGAGTGTGCATACGTATCACATTGTGTTTGAGAAAACACTATTGCTTCTTGCACTTGGCTCACAAATGTGGAAGCATTTGTTCTTTCTGTGTCACAAGTGTGACCGTGTTCTGGGTTTTTTCCTGTGCCTCATGTATCCTCACTTGATACGTTTTACATTGAAAATTAAATTTTTAATGCTGCATAATTGAAGACTTTTCCTTTACAGCAATTGATACCAGATGAGGATTTAGGTTTCTGTGTGCACAGTGGACGGCATCTGCCTTTCCTCCTCCTCCCAGCACATATTGAGAAGCATGCTTGTATGCTTCACACCTTCATATATGTGTGAACAGTGTGTGATCTACATAGCCCAGAAGAACAGTCCTTTTGCAACACATGACATTTCTGGGCCAACCACTGCACAAAGATATTTGCTTGTCTGGTGTGTATTGGGTTTTGATTTGGGAGTTAAAACAATGTACCAGTATTTCCCATGGGATGGAAACACCATTTTCCGGTCATCTCTAGCTGCGGGTGACTGAGTCAGAAAGTAAATGATTAGAGAGATACAAACGATGGCATAAAGGAGAGAATGACAAAAAAGCTATGGAGAAGACAATCTGGGGGAATGCAGAGGCGAGTGATGGAAAATGAGATAGCTTTATGGGCAGGCTACAGGGAGTCTCAAGGCAAAAGCGTGACCACTGATTTGTGACAGCAACATCAGAAAACCACAGTCAGGATACGGCTTACTCTAGTGTTGTGGAAACTGGCATATATCCCAAGACCTCTGCTTTATCCCCCAGTTGCTTGGGGGCACAACAGTGCATTGCTTGTGAACTTTACTGCTGTGACAGAAAACCAGCAGAAGTTCACGATCAACTGCAGTCCTTGAGACCTAAGCAGAAGAGGTTGGGAGTTTGATTGTGAGAATGCATATGTATATTGTTCAGTACAGTGCAGTGAAAGTTTGCCATGCCAAATTTGGGTCATTTACATATGATATCTAACCCTAGGAAAGTATCAGTGATGTTCTTGGCCAAATTTATGTTCAAACAACAGCTGAATGGGTTTTTATCAAAATTCTCTACTGAGAGCCATATCTATTTTGATTGGAAATCTTTTGGATAGCATGGAGTTCTGCTCTTTTGTGTGACCAGAAAACAATGTCTTGGGATGACAGCACTGTCTCAGTCTACCAGCAAACTGCTGCCCTTTTGTCAAAAAGGAGCTAGCAATTTATAAGATATGGTTTGTTAAAAAGTATATATAGTTGTAGAATAGCGTAAGTTACTGGATGCCTCTTTAGTTCACTGTGTCTATGAAAGCAGGAAACCAATTCACATGTTTTTGATCTCTTGAAATAAGACAGTTGCCCTTTTTGTTCTACAGAAGTGGAGTTACCCTTCAAGAAATTAAAAGCATGCAAGGGTTAGAAGTTATTTCCCTGTCAAATAGTTGATCAAGTCTAGATCCTAAACTTTCCTATACATGCTGTTACCTTGATTTTCCAGAAAGAGTTATAATGAATGCATGTTTGTTCTAGCAAAACCTTTTTTTCATCTCCTGCAGGTAAGTCTCTGAAGCAGCAGTGAGAGACTGTAGCTACCTTTGTGCTAGCTAGCTGGGCACAAATAGTGAGCAGCTAGAGATGCATATAAAATGGTATCAGAGATCTTGGATTTTTAAAACTTACTTGTAAACAGTAGTCTTTTTTAAATTTTATTTTCAAAACCCTTTTTGCTTTACTTTCTTCAGTACAAGAATGATACTTGACATGGGGTTCTTGTTTAGAACTTCTGTTTTCAAAGGAAACAAAGGTTTTACTACGTGGTCTCTTTAAAGAGCCTTGCCCAACAACTTGTGACTACACGTCATTTTCTTTTCCTTCACTTTCTGCAGTGCTGATTCCTTCTGCTAAAGATGGCTCAGACATGGGCAGTTCTGGCTGCACTCCTTTTCTTGCTAATCAACCTGGTTGAAGGGCCAGGTAAGTGAGAAGGATCCCAATCTATGTGGATCACTCTTTGATACTCTGTATTTCCAACTCACCAGTGCACTGAAACTTCGCAGTTCACCCCAGGGAGGTTTTGCTTATTGTTTAATGTGAATGAAAAGGTGATGTCACCTTAGCTGACAAAATAATCCTGTACTTTGCAGAGTAGCACAGGATGATATATCTGATAGGAAACAAACAGATCATCTGAAGATTCATCTCCTGTTCAACTGAGATAATATCAGGAGACCTGTGATTTCTGGCAGAAAAAAGATCTAAAAATGCCCCATACTTCATATGCCTCGTGAAATACTGCACCAAGTGATCTTGGGTTTTAACCTTGTGACAAGTGTATGTTCTACTGCTATCCCTGGTTTTACCTGTAGTTTAACCAAGGCGCCTAATTCAATAACACAGTATTTTTTTTTTTTAAAGTAGTTTCCCTTACGGGTGAATCTTGCTCCCCTCCATCAGTTTTTGAAAGCCTATATTAAAGTGATAGGAATCTGTTACCTAAAAAACAGATGCAGGACTCGTAGCTCACCAACATGCATCACATACCTGCACAGTATCCACAGCAGAAAGGCACCATCTCCACTGCATTTTCAGACTTCAAAGAGTGATAGCAGGAAGCTGGGCCTGGAAATTGAATACTACTTTTATGTGTCTGCACAGTGCAGTGTGTCCCCTAGGCTACCAGTACAGTAAGGAAGTAGAAATTTGTAAGTGTGATGAAGCCAAGAGTGTTTCTTATGCTTTGATGATGGCTGTAGCATAATTTTTAATGTCTTTTCTCTTTCTTACGTAGCTTACAACATGGTGAGTGTGGTGGCTGGTGATGAGGCTGTGTTGAGTTGCCCTTACGTCTCTGAAGTGCCTTTGCTAATGGTGACATGGAAGATGAAATGCAGCGCTTGCTGCTTCTTGGCCTATAGAAGTGATCACAATATGACAAGGAAGTTGAACTGCAGCAAGAGGTTTATGTGGAAATATTCACCTGACAGTGACCCTGCTATTCGTATTTACCCTGTGAACCTCAGTGATGAGGGAAATTATACCTGTGAAATTGTCAGCACTGAAGGGAATTTTCTTTTTTTCTCTTCTCTGACTGTGATAGGTAAGACACACCTTGCGTTATTTTAAAATTATTTGTGTGTGTGTGTAGATAAAAATTATTTGATTTGGTGGTAAAAGACCAAATTCATTTTGGATGCATGCTGAAATTAAAAATAAATAGGTAAGCTGATTTAGTCTGGCTATTAGGAGAGGAGGGAGAAAGGCATGAGGATTTGTGCAATAGGACTGGGCTGATCTATGAAGAAATAATTGGGGAGTTTTGTGTTCATGTTTTTTAACTTCTGACCCATGAACAAGGGAGGTTTTAAGATGCACCATATCCAACAGTCTGCGTAGTTTCTGAGAGAGTTCTCTGACCGTAATGTGGGATTTTAGTGTTAAAGGAGTATACACTCTTGGTTAAGTTAATGTAAACAGATAAAATGGCAAATAAATACTGCTGCTATAATCTGAGCAAGAGGATGCTGAACCAAAATTCACAATGAGATCAATATGTGTTTTGTCTGAGTAAGAGCTGAATAAGAAGAAAACAAAAGTTTCAGGACACTATCTGGAAATATTTCACTCTTCCAGAAATACTGAAACCTTTCTATAAGACTGCATCGCTAAAGTAAAAATGAAATTAGCCTATTTTCAACCTAGGCAGGAGCAAAATAATATTAGGAAACGTAATCAGTACATCAAATAATCTTTTTCAGATAGTCAGGCAAACTATCTCTAGGTTTTCATAAATTTAAAAGAATAAAACATAGGTGAAGATTTTGTGTTCTGGCCATATTAGTTAATTTTTGGTGATACTCAGAAGGCTTACTCAGAGGGGAAATTAATTTTGGAGCTCTATAATTGCTATTATTAATTTTTGTCACTTGACTTTTTTGTTGTTGTTGTGTTTTTTGTTTTGTTTTGTTTTTGTTCTTCCCTGCAGGGTATTGCCTTTCTGATAATGGCTTAGGTATTGTCCGAGACTTTGCATGTTTTGTCAGATTCAGAATATGTGTTGTTGGACTTTAGGCAGAACAGTTTTGTCTGATTCCTCCTTTATTTCACTACTGTCAAATTCTTGATTCTACCTACCTAATCTCCTAAATGTTTTGCGTGGAACTTCACCAAGCTGTGTTTTTTTCAGTGTGTGCACTGCCGTACTTACAAATCTTCATTTAATCCAACTCTATCTGTCACTGTCATCCCATCTTCTCCTGTTACTACTGTAGTCGCCTTTTGGAAAACATGAGGAAGCAATACTTCTATATGCAGCTAGCCAGTTTTGGAGATATTCACCTTGGATTTTTTGATCTATTTTTTTCCCTAAATATCATTGGTGCTAATATTCCACATTATTTTAAGAACTCTTGAATTGGTCATGCAAACTGAAAAATAGCACCTGTTTTTCTGTTTCTCAGTTGATTTTATACTGAACTAGAAATAATGGTTGTGGCTTTTTTTTTTTTTTTTTTTTTTTCCCCTTCTTCTGTAGTCCATCCTACAGTGACTTTGACCTCTGACGAGAGCAGGGTGGCTGTCTGTCAAGCATCTGCTGGAAAGCCAGCTGCTGAAATCTCCTGGATCCCTGCAAGTAATCACAGCGCTGAGGAAGAAGTCCATCACACCAATGGGACAGTGACCAGAGTGAGCTACCTAGGCTGGATCAACAGCACACATTCTACTGTCACCTGCCTGGTTACCCACCCAGCTGCAAACCAGACTCTCTTCCTAGACCTGTCACGTAAATAACATTGTTCTGTAATTGCTCTTCATCAGGCTCTTGTCCTTCTTTGTGCTGCTCTGTGCAGCTGTTCCCACTGAATGCCAGGGCTCTGCAGATTGTTTAGTGGGGTGATAGGCCAAAGTTCTAGTGCATGTTGTCAGAGAAATTAATAATTTTGAGTTAGTCAGTTGAAACAAAATGTTTTGTGGCATTTTATGGGGAAGCTTTCAGTGCATGCTTCTTTCTATTCCTGTTCTGTTTTACAAGAGTTCCTCATTCTGCTTTTGGCAGGTTGACCCTGGCTGACTGTCAGGTACCCACCAAACTGCTCTATCGCTCCTCTTCCTCGATAAGACCAGGGCAGAAAAGTATGATGAAAAACTCATGGGTTGAGATAAGGACAGGGAGATCACTCACCAGTTACTGTCATGGGCAAAACAGACACGATTTGGGGAAATTAGTTTAATTTATTGCCAGTCGAATCAGAGTACGATAATAAGAATGAATCTAAAAGCACCTTTCCCCCACCCCTCCCTTCTTCCCGGTCTCAGTTTCACTCCTGATTTCTCTTCCTCCTTGCCCTGAGTGGCAGTAGGGGACAGGAGTTGGGGTCAGTTCATAACACTTTGTATCTGCCACTCCTTCCTCCTCTTCCCCTGCTCCAGCACGGGGTCCCTCCCACAGGATACAGACCTCCACAAACTTCTCCAACCTGAGCCCTGACCACGGGCTGCAGTTCTTCATGAACTGCTCCAGCATGGGTCCCTCCCATGGAGTGCAGCCCCGCAGGAGCAGACTGCCCCAGTGTGGGTCCCCCATGGGGTCACAAGTCCTGCCAGCAAACCTGCTCCAGCGTGGGCTCCTCTCTCTCCATGAGTCCCACAGGTCCTGCCAGGAGCCTGCTCCAGCGTGGGCTTCCCCCAGGGTCACAGCCTCCTTCAGGCATATCCATATGCTCAGGTGTGGGGTCCTCCATGGGCTGCATGTGGAGAGCTGCTCCACTGCTGACCTCCCTGGCTGCAGGGCACAGCCTGCCTCACCCCATGGTCTTCACCCCGGGCTGCAGGGGAATCTCTGCTTCTGCTGCCTGGAGCAGCTCCTGCCTCTCCTTCTTCACTGACCTGGGTGTGTGCAGAGCTGTTCCTCTCACACATTCTCACTCCTCTCTCCATCTGCAGTTGCTGTTGTGCAGAGTTTTTTTTCCCCCGCTCTTAAATACGCTATCCCAGCGGCGCTACCACTGTCACTGACGGGCTCGGCCCCGGCCAGCGGTGGGGCTGTTTTGGAGCCGGCAGCACTGGCTCTGTCAGGACATGGGGGCAGCTTCTGGCAGCTTCTCTCAGCAGCCACCCCTGTAGCCCTCCCTGCTACCAAAACCTTGCCACGCAAACCCAATACACTGGTCACTGCAGTCACCTTTTTAATCATTGGTGGTGGAAAAGTTGCTTTCAGTAGCCACTGTGATACAGCTCACTAATTTTTGATGTGAAGCTTTGAACCCCTGCAGTCGATTTTTGTCCAGCTTCCCACAGTGGTGATGGTCTGGAGAAAAATGTCTGTCTGTGACTTTCAAGTGATTTTTCCCGGGGCCAAACGTAGTAAAGGGTAAAATTCAACTTCTCGGCCAGCTGTGCTGGACCTGCTAGAAGTCTATGCCAATAGGATTTGTAAGAACAGCTAAATAAGTGTTCGTATCACCAAAATATCTCAGTAGAGTCGTGAACGACAGAATTCAGCATAGACCAGTCATTAAGAACAGTATTTTGCAGGGATGGCAGGTCAGTTCTGTTGTTGCAGCGCTAATATAATTTGAAGAAAGGGAGACTGTGCAGACAGATGAGTTGAAAATGAGAGTGTGTTTGTACACACAAATAACTGGGTGTGTAAGGCAGCTTCCGATTGCTGGCTGACATCCAGACATCTGATCTGCGTCTCAGCTCATCTGAGCTGTGGGGGTAGAGGGTTAGCTTTCTCCTCTGTTTAAGGAAGGTGGTAACATCATGTAGTCAGTGGATACTGATGTCTAGCTCTGTAACTAACTTTCTTATCTCTCAGCCGCTTCCCCCAGGCTTCCCTATCTCCTGATAGGAGGATCTACAAGTGTTGCTGCTGTCATTGGTGTGACTTTATGCTTGATTTTCAGGTGCAGAGGTAAGTGATTCGATGAGCCTGAAATGTATTACAATTCCATTGCTGACTATGTGCAGGTACAAGGACACACACTTTATTATTGAGAGTGGGGTGGGAGGTAAGGATTGAGGGAAATGCTCATACGCGATGCACTGTCCTTTTGGAAAAGCCCTAATAAAATAAGGGGTGGATCTTCAAAACAAGCCTGATGTTTTGTAAGTGCCACTGTTATTAAGATTATTAATGCAATATACATCTGCGGCAGAGAGTCATCCAGGATGAAAAGGATTCTTTCTGAGACTAGGGTAGGTTCTGAGGTTTTTGAATTATTTTGATCATTCTGCATTTACCCACATAAAATTCTGTACACAAAAATGATAGTTCACAAACTAGTGACAGTAGTCCAATGACTAGAGACAAATAACCCCTCCCAGTTCCACCAGCAATCATAAATTTTTCCTTGAGGAAGTGTAAGAATAGGCCAAAAGTGCCTACTTCCCTCTGGTACACTCACAGTTTCTCAGACTGTGTAGATTTTATTGGCACTGGGTCAGGCTCATACTGAATAATTTGATACTGAGAACTCAGATGACGGTTTGCTACTCTTGGAGTCGAGTAAGATGGCTGTGATGGGGTACGAAGGGAGTGGAAGCCCAAGTGGAGGCTTAAAATGGGAGGAAGAGAAAATAGTAGGCTGAAGGCAAGAGTGTTTTCCAGAGAACAGGAGATGAAACACTGGGAGAAGGCAACGTAGAGGCCGGTGAACTGTAAATTGAGAAAACTTGCAGAGAATCAGAGTGTCTGACTCACTCCCCTCCATTATCTTAGTTCTGCTCTAGCTTCACTGCTTGTATGAGTTTCTTCTTTGTGTTCAATGTCTTTCAGATTATCCCCCCTGCATTGAGCACATTACATTGCAGATGTGTTTTAGGAAGCAGGTCGGAACAAATGGGGTGAAAGAGGGTTGGCAAGAGGGAATGAGGGAGGAATGCAATAGAAGAGCAGAGTTGGCAGGGTGAGGAAAACAGAAAGACAGAAGAAGAAAACAGAAGGGCCGTTGTCATTGGCAGTGGCAGCACTGACCAGTGCTTGCAGCGCTTTGATGGAAGCCTGTCCCTGCCACAGAGTGAGATGCTGCCTTGGTGCAGGTGAGAGAGGAGAAAACAGGCTCAGATGGGTTCCCTGGCCCGGCATGTCCCTGCAGAACTGAGGAAAAGTGCACCTAACTGAGTCAATTCAGTCATGGCTCCCAGGGTGATCAAAAATTTAAATGAAGGGAAAAATAAAACAATAGCACTTTCAAGAGCAGGACATAAAAAATAAGAAACAACGAGTGTAACTTTAAAGAAAGTCTTTCAACAGCTGAGGGCAGCTAGAGGAGAACTCTAGACATAACAGCTGTGCACCTTGCCCCATCAAACCATTTTAATTCCCTGACATCCTACTTTCAGCTTTCTGGTTGCGTAAATCAGCACAGGAGTCAGCAGTACCAGTTGCAGTAAGTAGGCTTTTCTTTTGTGTGTGCTTTGCTTTTTTTTTTTTTTTTTTTTTTTTTAATTGTGTATTCTTCACTAAAACATGTAAATTCATTGCAGTGTGTCTGCTCTGAAAAAACTCCCGCTTATCTCTGTGTGTGCTTGGAGAGGGAATGTGTTTCTGGAAGAGTGTCTATTGTTTGGATGGCCCTATCTTCATGTATATTCAGAATATCTGAGTGATTTCTTAAGCACTAGATCAAGAGTAGAGTAGTGCATTTCCTGCCGAAGAATACTATAAATTATATTTACAATGCCAATGGTTAATCTGAATTTTAAATCTCCCCAAAGTTAATGTTTTCACATTTCTGCTTCACAGAGTAATCTTAACTCTGATTTTCTTTGCTGAAGAATGTGTATTTCCCTTGATGGCAGAAACTTACCTGATTAAAGACTGGATGAAAACAGGCATTTTACAATGAGGGAAAAGGGTGCACTTCCTTATGATGTATTAGAGACAAACACAGCTATGAAACTTTTATTTTTTAAATTGCGGTTCAAAAACTCAGAAGCTAGGAAACAGCAGTGATAAATTTTCCACCACAACTTTTACTTCCTTTCTAATTCTAGTGTGTTGTGATACATGTTTAACAGCGTGATAATATGCTGCTCTTTCCTCAGGGGTTCTGCCTCATTTAATGCACACTGAAAGAACAATTATTTTATATTTTGCTTTCTGCTCACAGTTAAATTAATGGCCGTGTGCCTCGTTTGTTGCAGACTAGTCAAACAGGGCTTCGAAGTTAGAATTATTAATTTCCTGGTATGTTTTTCTATGGCATTCAGGACAATTTGATTGACAGGAGTGGGAGTTGCAGAGATCAAAGTCAAAAGCTTCCAGTAGTTTTAGGTGCCTAAACCGGATTGCCTGTGGCCTGCCTGTTTGTTTTGTTGTTGTTGTTTTTGTTTGTTTGTTTGTTTGTTTTAGTTAGCATAGTTCAGTATCATCTATTTTGCTGAAAAGATAACAATTTCAAAATTTGTTTTCAGGCACATTAAGAAAAAGAATTCAAAAGGCTGTCCTGTTTGGGATTTGTGAAGGTGGCTATTGCACCTGTCAGTTCAGGTTTCACCCTCTGTGCCCTACCCCTTTGCTCGCAGAGTTTAGAGATATAATTTCACAGTTTATTTGCAAAAGTAATGCTGCCTAACGGGTTTCTTTTGGTCTTGTTTTTTGTTTGGACTCTATAGTTATGATGGTTCTTTTAAATTCTACCATGTAATATAATGATAAAATTTTTTCTTTATATTGCAGACTAAGAACTGCAGGTCTGCACCATCGCATGAGAAAACAGTGGTGGTCAATCCTCCTGCCGCATCAGACTGTATTTACCAGAATTACAATCCGAGAATGTTATACAGGAAATACTAACTGTGTAGGCACAAGCAGTCTAATATAGCTCAGTAACTAATGATACTCAGTTACTCAAACTTGCACTTCAACCGAGAAATCACAGACGTTACCACATAGCAGGCCAGCAGAACACTCAAAACTGCCCTACAAAAGCCTTTGTCTTTCCTTACCTGAAGACAGTGGGAGAGAGAAACCTGTTTTAGGAAATTATTTCTCTCTTTCTCTAAATACCAGCACAGCTCTTGAAACATTTGAAAATTTTAAATACATATCTGAATTTTGTTCAAAAATGGACCCTGAGGTGTGTGCTGTATTCTCTCAAATCAGTAACTGAGATATTTCTGTGCCACATTTACAGACTGCTGGTGAACATGTAGAACTCTTTTCCATTTTCACAACTGGATTCTCTTTACAATTTTGTGGTAGAAATCAGGAAGTGACACAGAGAACCCCAAAACACAGAAGGTCAAAGAAATGCATCCAGCAGAAATGCAGAAATAAGAGTTGTTTTCTTTTTTTTTTTTTTTTTTTTCTCTGGGTACATAGTTACATGTGGCAGATGACAGTCTGGTATTTGCCATCTTTGTTGAGTTTTTGTTTTTTCTTAAATGTATTTGTATTTATTTTTCAATTAAACTTTGCTTGCATTGATAATGGAAGAAAAAAAGCCAATTTTAAATGGTACTTGGTATGGAAACGAGATATAGCAATGGGCAATTTTCTAAGATTGATTTTAAAGTAAATGTAAAAATATGCAAATATTTACCTAAATTATTTCGGGGGCTATTTGGGTAAATTTTTATTGACCAGTTTCTTAGAGGCTGAGATCACAGCATGGTTTTACCGAGAAGTGTTAAGTTGTGAAAAATGCAGGTTGAATACTTGTTTTAAACAAACAAACAAAAACCCTAATCCAATTATTTATTTCTTCTCATCTTTGTGGCCCCAAACTGAAACCCTCCTCCCCTTCTCCCCCCTCCCTGCACTGGTTGTTATTTTCAGTTTTCATTTGTCAGATTTATCAAGCCTTCCAAACACTAATGCAGCAGTAAGTATACTCAACTGTTCATTTTGAATGCCCTTTGCTTGCTCGTTGCTGGAGGAAGTCATCTCTGCTCCATCAGTGTTCTTCAGCATGAGGATCTCCCAGCGCCTTCTCATTGCACTTCACTTTATCACTTCCAAATAGACATATGGGTGGTGGGCATCTACTGACATCACTCCAGCCTTCCATTTTAGTCAGAAAGGTATAAAGAGTGACTCTCTGCCTTACTGAAAGAGTGCCTACAGAAGGCGGTCCATTCACAGCTGCTGGGTAACTGAGCAGAGCCTTTCTTGTGGTGTTAACTGTCAGTGATGGGTCACAATCTCAGAGCTGCTTCTTCATGTCAACTGTGGGGAAGGGAATGCACCATTTCACATGTATACAGCCTCTGGCAGAAATAAGTGACAGATAGCTTGGAATTAGTGGAAACAGGTTTCCAGTGATGCTAGCTAGGAAGGGTGTTTTGTAGCTCTAGTGAAATCCACAGCAGTGCCTTAGTCTCAGGAAGTGGCTTCCAAGTTCGGTGGGCCCACAGCTGGCAGCGCATGGTGGGCATGATCCAGCACCCTTTTTTGTTCTTCCTGTCATCTGGGACCTTTCACAGTCACAGTCCTGTCAAGGAGTTGGTTGTGACTGGAAACCTCTGGAAGAGGGGAAAAATCTCTTGTTTCTCAGGGAACTGCCCACCTGGGTCTTAACCTGGGCTCCTAGGCTGGTTCTGCTCAGTGTGACAGGTAAGCATGGATCATTCCTGTGGACAACTACATCAATTTGGGTCTGTCATATTCAGAAGCTGGACCACTGCAGTCAGACTGAGAGGATGACGTGGCTGTCAAAATGAAGAGAGTCAGGCTGTGGAGTAGTTTGCTTTTGGCAGTTATGGTGCATGAGTTGTGATTTTTAGGGTGCAGAGCAAGAACTTTTCATAATTCTTTTGCACCAAGTGACATGTTGAAGAGTAAGATCTATTGCAGGCAGACAGGGAGATGATATGCTATGCAGGGGGTAAAACCTTCTAGAGAAACATCACTGTGATAGGTCTGTCTGAAAAGCATGGCTTCTGTTCTCATTATTTTATTTTTCCCTTTAATTTGTATTTAGTGGAATTGATCACCTACAATGTGTCAGTATTTCCTAGAAATCCCAAGAGGACTTTGTGTTGAAACAAGGTGGTCTGGTAATGAGATAGGTCCCTTTGTGCTGCAGGTACCCAGTGAAATGGGCTCTCCTGGCAGTTCTACAGCTCTTAACTGCCATGTGGACTATGTTTTTTCTGATTTCTTATTTTAAGAGCAAGTCCTGCTGCAACCTCTCAGAAAATTAGCTTTACAGCATCGTAGCCTAGTCAGGCTTTGATCATCACCTGTTTACTGCCAGCAAAAAGCTTGAGTTATTAACCCACAGCATAGGCAAACCCACGTTACAGGCACTAAAAGGCCTCAGCTGCCTAATTGTTGTATCTTCCTTCTGCAATAAAATTGGCCCTCATGCTTTTCAAGCTTGTTGTGCATGATTAATAAAACTTATTAGGCCAAAGAGAATAATATGGCTAGTGGGGGTGATTGTAAGAAAGACTGGGACATGAATAATGCTTCTAGGTGGAACATAATAATTGAACAAGCTCAGTTAATTTTCTGTTCATCTTTTGTATGTGTTGTAATACTGGCACAAGTGGTAGGTAGTTTCAGATAGTCTGCTTCTTTTTTAGCTATCTGCAATTCACTGGAGCTTTTGACCACAGAAGTATGTATTACATCCAAGCTGCCAACAGGTGATAACTATTCTAGTGGGCCTGTCAGCTCTGTTAATGGCATCGCCTTTGAAAGGAGGAAGATAGGATTAACCAAGCAGAGGGCCCGTGTGTACACTGAGAAAGGAAGCCCTCGGTGTTTGGGATAAGACAGAGAGATCTGTGAGTTGAATGATTTTGTATGGAAGCAAAAAGAGGAAAGTAGGAGAGACTGGAGAAGGGGGTTGACAGAAGAGAGCGATAAGTCTAAGAGAGCGAGGAGGATGTTGGGTCGTTGCAGCTTAATAGTGAGATTAATTGCTTTATCCGTTCACACTGCCTGTCAGTGGGTACCTTAACTGCTGATTGTGACAGGTGAAGGACAGGCTTTTGTCATATGGGAAACTCTCTGCATTCTTCTATCGGGGTGGAAAACTAGGCACGGGCTTTGATGCTTTCCTCCCTGCCTGCCACCACCAAGGAGCGGTGCGTTGCCATGCCGCTTGGTCTTCCGAGCTGTGCACCAGAGGGCTAAAAGCCACGAGACACACACCTCCGGGGAGCAAGGGAAACGAGGGAGAGGCCTGGCACTGCTTCAGCGGCTCACCAGGAGTTGGACTCCTCCGAGGTCCACCTCTGCCACCCCTGTCCCTGCCAGAAGCCGCGGCCAGCGTGCCACGGTGCCCAGCGGCCGGGCGGGTGCCGCCGGTGGGAGTGGGAGCCCTCCCCACGCTGCCCGAGAGCTGCCCGTGGGGCTGGTGGTGCCAGCTCCTGCCCGAGCCGCGCGCTCCCGCCGTGGCTGCTGAGAAACTGCCCCTTTCCCGCCTGGATTTCATTTTGCAGTTGATCTGATGAGCGTTTTGACAATGAGAGGAATGTTTTCTGTCGTGCCGATTTCATAATGGGATAGGTATCTTGGTGTAATCCAAAGAATAACCCAGAGTGTGTGTTCTGTCTCTTGTAGGAATTTTTGGTCTGGAAAATAACCAACTTGAGGAATGTTTTTATGCCTATATTTACTATGCTTTTTTCCTTAATTGGAAGAACACTTTTAGTGATCTTATACTGATTTTATTTGCACTGAAAGCAAATTTAAGCAAGGCAAATGTTTTAGACTGCAAATCTCTACATATTCTTCTGTGGCCTTGTCAAAACAGCCAGGAAAATGCTGGCTGTTTATTGAATAATCACTGTGAGAGAGTTACTAGGAGGAGATGGGTGTTGCTGTGAGCTATTTGCACATTCTGATCCAAAAAATAAATAATAAAAAATAAAACTCTGGGAGTGTGAACCTCTGTTCCAGGGCTGTGGCAGCAGCTCTGCCTTGCCACTGCTGTTTCAGACTGACTCTTTAGTCAAATGCACAGTTGACTGGATGTCACTTAGGTTTTTTAGCACTACACGTGACTGTAGATGAAAATGCTCATGTTTATTGTGTGGACTTTCAGTCGTAATGTTTATAGGGCATTTGTAGTAATATTGATGATGTCTGCTCTCTGATTAATCTGTGAGCAATTTATCTTCTGGTAATAGCAGGTGCTGCAATCCTGTCAAACAGTTCTTTGTTTTCTTTCTGTTCACTGAATATGGAAAAAAAAAAAAAGTTGACAAATAGTTATGTTTAGAACCCCATAAATTGGAATGTAACTTTAGATTATGAACAATATTTGTTTAAAATCCCAATTTTCAACACTTAGGACTGAAATGAAGAAAGTAAATAATTTTCCTTCAGACTTTGGAAATGAGGCAAATATCCTAAGGGTATTGTGAGTTCAGTGAAAACCTTGGTTTCCTAAGTTGGTATTTCTTTCAGATGTATTTTTTGGTCTAGCCTTTGTGGCATCATTTGTCATATCTTTTTCTTCCCTGATGAGAAAATAATACTTTCCTGGGTTCTCCTGTAATACCTATAGCACCTGTAGAATATTGTCCTGTTGGTTTTGATGTCTTTGTGACTTGGTATTTCTGCTTCTGTGAAGTTTCTTTTGTTAATGTCAACTTGTCCTCAGCTACATGACTTGGTATCCGCAATCTGTATGCAACTTTCATGTGCTGGAGGCAGCAAAGAGCTCATGATTTAACCAAGTAGGACTTCTGCTACATTTCCTATCACTTCTCTGTCCTGGAATAGTTTGTGTTTGGTCTCTTAATGGTATTTCTTTTAGCAATTACCCACTTTTCTTTCCTCTGTATTTCCTTAAAATTGTCTCCCCAATGCTCTCATGCACTAGTTTTCTCAGTTTATTGATTTTTATCTTCAATAAGTACTTTATTATCCAGTTCTCTTCCTTCTCTTTTTGGCAAGAAATGCAGTTGCATTATTCATTCAGTTGCTTTCAGTAGGTGCCAAATTCTATCAATTAAATTTTTTCTTCATAAGATTTTTTTTTTGTTTGGAGGGGTGGGGAACAAAAGGTTTCAAATTGTGACTTGTTTTGGAATTTTCTAGTGCTTTCACTGAACTTCTCCTTAGAGA